GATTTTTTTTTTTTTTTACAAGCCGTGACATCGAAAGTGAAACTACCTACCTTATGTCTCCAATTTACGGGGGGATATAAATATATTTCATCAGTAGATATATAAACTGATTTTTAAAAGATTCACTGCAGTTGAAGAATTCGCACCTTAAGATGAAGGTAATGTCGCGTAATTCTTTTGTGGAACAGTTAACATAGTGAAATTTTGTTTTATTAAAAATTCTGGAAAATATTTCTTAATGAAAATTTTCATATACCTACCTAACAATGTTTTTATTATTATTATGTTGTTATGTTTGAATAGTGATCAAAATAATTTATACTCTTACCTACAATTAATTTTATTTTATTTGCAGCTCTCCGTTCTTGTTCTGTTTGCAGTTATTGCATATGCAAGTGGTAAGATTATTATTCAAATTTTATATAATTAGTGTAATGATCAATGAATATATATTTTAGTAGTCAAATCGGAATTTCAAATTAGTATTAACTTTGATAATAATTACAGTATAGGTATAGACTTCAATACTATGCCTAAATTATGCATCACAACTTTAAACTAAAAAGTAAGAAATGGAAATCGCTCTCTAATTTTTCACCCTAAAAGGTGGAATACTTTCCTTAAATTTAAATGGGACCACACCCTTGAGATATGGCATTCTCAATAAAAAAAGAATCATTAAAATCGGCTCGAGTAAGGCAGAAAAAAAAGTCGAATTAAGAATCTCCTTTGATTTAAAATATAAGTAGACAACATTAAATAGGTCGCATATTATTTCAAGCGACATTTTTCAACTATTATTAATCTGAGATATTAAGTAAATATGAATTTATTATTATTTTGTATCATGTTGAAACATTATGGTGGACCAAAATATGTACACTTGTTTTAAGATTTATTGAAATATTGTAGCTCTTTAAATTCCACTGAATTCTAATAAATCATATTTCATTTAATTAAATTTTGGTCAAAAATTCTTCAATTCAACATTGCCTTTATGTTTCCAGAAAATATCAAATTACAAAACCGTGCTGGTTTAGATACATATGTATCCTATATTATTTACAAGTTATAGTTACAATTATATTTTTGTTTCCTGAAGCTGGTTTTCTCGGCCATGGTGGACATGGCTATGGTTATGGAGGAGGCCATGGTTACGGAGGAGGTCATGGAGGTGTTATTAGTGTAATTGGACATGGAGGAGGTTTTGGACACGGAGGAGGTTTTGGTCACGGAGGAGGTTTTGGTCACGGAGGAGGTTTTGGACACGGAGGAGGTTTTGGGCATGGAGGTGGCTTTGGATATGGTGGAGGTCATGGATACGGAGGAGGTTACGGTTACGGAGGAGGTAATTTTACGATTTCTTTTGTTATATCAATTATTTGTTATCAGTTTTAAAGTTTTGCTGATATTTTAATGTTTAGCTTATATAGAGTTTATGGGGTATTTAGGCAGATACTGTAAATGTTTTACAATTTCGCAAGAGAATGTCCGTGAAGGTTGAAAAATAATTTTCGTTACTCTTTAATGCTAAAAGACGCTACATCCTTGTTTTCAGTAGTCACTTGTAGAGGAAATGTGGTTTATCAACCATAATTACCGCATTTCCAATTTGAGCGTGAATCTATAAAAGTAATGCTCAATGTACATTATCAAGGCCAACAGTAGACCTACTGGAACGATAATAAACAAAATAAAAAAATGTGTTTCTGTCGGGAATACTTGAACATTGATCTGTCTCAAGTCGTGTCGTCAGTAAAAGGCAAAACAAAGGAAACAGCAAATTTTGCTACCTCATGCTTTATTTGTTAACGCTATATTTAAAAGTAATGCGATTGGCAATCGTGTAAGTAATTATTATTGCTCGTATTTTAGGCCATCATCATGTGGTACGAGTTGTCAAAGTGTATGGAGGTCATGGAGGTCATGGAGGCTGGGGCTGGGGTAAATAAAAACCGCAAATGTTTGAGTGACGTATACTACGTAGAAACTGAGGAAAAGATGTTATTCATTTACCATTTTCGAAGCTGTCCCTTTAAAGACCAACATCTAAAAACTCTATAGTACAAAAGACCTATCCTATGATATTTTTTGTTATGTAATATTTTAAATTATACGATAAATAAATAACAAGAAATGAACAATTTTTGTCCGGTGGAATTTGTTTCTTCACCCTTAAAGACCTAATTACATTTTTATTGTAATGTATGTTTTAAATAAAGTGTCCAATGTTTTTAATTACCTAATTGATTTTACTAGCTGTGTGGGATCTTAAATTTAATTAAGTATTTGACTTTTATTATATTATGACATAAGCTGGTTTTAATAACCCTGAAATTGAAAAATTGTTAGTCAAAATGTCATAGTTTTTGTATATTCACTTCATTCCTATCATGGAATTTCAAAAAAGTCGTCCACAGTATTGCAGTTTTGAATTTTTGTGTGAAAACGTAACAAGTTCCATTTTTAAAGCCCATTTAATACAATGACTGTATCAAACACATATGAAAACCACTGCCTTGAATATCACCCTCCAGTGCCACTGAAAAGAAAGGTTGCAAACCAGAACATAGCTATTGATAAACGAATGATAGCAACAGATGGATCAACAGCTCATTTATGTCCTTCAACCCTTTCTGCACAGGTATGCAAAGGTCAGAAACAAATGTTTTCACTTGTGTATCAAACAGATAGATACCTATACAATTTCTTGTCGTATATTACCCTCACTTATAGGGTCGTCCATATATGCGTAACGCAAAATTAGTCAAAATTTGAAATGCCCCACAAAATGGGATGCGTGGCCTAATCCTTTTCTTACTATTCCCTTACATAACGGGACTTGCCAAGGTACCTGTCTCCCATCCCGAGCAGAAAACGAGTAGGGCTGTGATCCGAATCGGATCGGGCAATCTAGCTGCCCTGTTAGGGCTCAAAAAGAAAAATTTGATCAGGACTGGATCAAGTATGTAACGCCTCAGATTCAGGATCGGGCCACTCTAGAAGGTCTTGTTACATAGGGTATCGTTTAAACCTGAACAAGTTAACCTATAAGAGGTAGATTGAGGTGATTTGTAAGGTCCTGCGAATCTATAAGATGCCTTATACAATCTTGACTAAAATAACCTACATGGAACGAATTGTAGGGTCCCGACCTATATGACCCAAAGCAGGGTATCTCACAGGATTCGTAATTTAACTTAAACTTATCTCGTTCGATAACAACTTAGCGACAGTTAAATCAAGTCTTTCTTCGGGATTACCTGAAGCATCATTACACTTTTAATAATTTAAACGACCATCGTAATTAGAATAACTTGATACATGCAATATTATTATATTTNACTTGCATTAAATCGTAACATTGACATACCAGCAATCGTGACCAAAAAAGAAACCAGGGTACAAACTTGAACCTCTTTGGAATTTTTTCATGTATAAGAGGACCAGAAATTAAATAAACAGTACATTAAACTCAATACAATACCATCATCATCATAAGGTCGTCAGTCCTAAGACTGGTTAAACACGCACCTGCACTCCTTAGTATCCTGAGCTATTCTCTAAAACTAGAACATCCCACATCCTTAACTATTTGCGAACAGTAATCTAATCTAGGTCTACCTCTACTCTTCTTAACTCCTGTTTTTGCCTCGAATATGTCTCTGACTAGACCTTTATGCATGAGAAGGTGTCGTACCAACCTATCTCGCCTATTTTTTATTGACTTCCATAGTCTTCTGTTCTCTTTTTCCTTCTACTACCTTTTCATTTCTAACCTTCTCTATCCATTTCCAACGCTTCTAACGTTTTCTTTTCCGCCGCGCCCACCGTCGATGTTTCGCTCTAAACATACACCATTAACAATATTTTTGGAATTTCTAAATTGACCGTTCGCGAGCATAGAACTGACTTCTTTTTATTGAAGGTGACTCGATCCTGCACTATCCTCTGCTTTATATCCCTACTACTCCTACCGTCCTGACTTATCTGACTTCCTGGATACCTAAAATCAGCCACTTCTTCTAATCTTCGCCCCCTATACTTCTTCTTCCCTTACATACCAGTATTTTTGTTTTATTTCAATATAATCATAATTGCATTAGCATTTACGATTTCTAAGTGTCGACATAAAATAACTTTTAGTTTAAGAAGAAAATGGTCAAATGAAAAACTCATTTTCCTTTGAACTGATACTGTTCTGATTCGGGTCTAAAGGCCGTCGTCGTCCTAACGTTTCGCTAGCATAAGTAGCGACCTTCTTCGAAGGCCCTTCCATCTACGATGCTGGACGTGGGCCACTCATGCTAGCGAAACGTTAGGAAGCAATCCCAACCGGCAACGGCCTTCAGACTTGAATCAGAATAGCATTAGTTCACCTACTGACCCTGAAAGGCTTCACAAATTTATCAGTTTCCTTTTAATTTTATATTAAAGTAGAATGTGTTTTTTATCTTATTTTAATCTTCTCTACGAAATTATTTTTAAAATTACTTACGATCTTACGTAAATTGTTATCCGATCTTTATTATTAACTATTCTAGTTGAGGAATAAAAAAAGCTTTATATGTTTAATTTCCACAAGCTACTAATGCTGGTGAGCCAGTGACAGTCTTTCCAACCTATTCACTTGTGCAAAGCCGGAGAGTAGAGCGGAAGCGCATATGAGATGAACGAAACTAACACATAAGAGAAGTGAATCATAAATAACTGTGGAGTATTACTGCCCAGCATATACCTAAAAGTTCAATCGAAACCACATAACTGCTGCCAGACCTCCGTAATTGAACCAGTATTCGTCCTAATGCTAAGTTATCATTTAAACTGGAGATATAACGAATAGTGTACCGAGCGGCATGGCCTAGAGGTCTAGACCATTGCTTAGCATTCGGGAGGATGCCGGTTCGATTCCGGGTCTGTCCGTCTGCCTTGGTCCAAGTTTTTCTGTGGTTTCCTTGGATCACTTAGGCAAATGCTGAGGCAGTAATATTCCACAGATAATCTTTCACTCTCTTCTGTCTTCATTTCGTCCGTCTCATCTTTCTCACCCGAACCACCACCCACCCATTCCCACGATTCCTGAAAGCAGGCTGAAGAGGGCCTTCCGCCCTACCTTCCGGCGTAGTCCGGAGGGACTGCCCGCCCACCAGCTTTACTGGCTGGTGGGAATGAAACACCCAAATGAAACCAATAGTGATCTTGCTGGGTACCGGATAACCGAGTAGGTTTTTTGTTAGGATTACTTATTAAATTAATATTGCTCGTATTTGTTTATTAATTTTTTTTCTGGTAGAATTAATTGACAATGTCGGTTACTCAACGTCATTATCTGGTGTCCGGCGGATTCGAGGATTTTTTTTAGGATCCGGCCGGGCGTCGGATCCAAACTGGTTACCCGATCAACTTCTAATCTTAACCAGGTGTCCTCAAACTTTTTAGCCCAAGGGCTACGCTGACTCTTTCAGTAAGTTCTAAGGGCAAGGATTAGTCGGCGAGTCAAGTATTAATTTTAAACTGACACATTTAAACAAAATGTATAAACGATTCGGCCAGTAACTCGAGTTCAAAACTGGAATATTTTTTTATTAATTGCTGCAACAGTTGTAATTTTTGGCGTAAGAAATTTAGGTTAATGTGTGACTAAAAAAATAATAAACATTAAAACTGCAGCCTTATCCTCCAAACACGTTATTTACATACTATAAATATTAATAAACCTTATTAATATCAATGAAACTCAAGGCAGTTAAATGAATCAAAAAGAAATATGTTATTGATTTGACGAGAGCAAATAACTATTTTAAAAAACAAGATTGTAATTTAATTCATAGTTTTATTTTGTACAATAATCATACTAAATAGTCACGAAACATAAATTTACATATGTAATGCATTCATTTACCTAACTATTGTTGGTGTGGATTTTAAAAAATAATAATTCTTTTATGAATTATAAAAAGTATAAATTATGGTTATTTGTTGGTAATATTCCGCATAATACATATATATGGCGGTTCATAAACCTATGTCATGTCGTTAACTGTTATACTATTAGTTGTAGATGAATTTGACCAAGAAACTGACAAATATGTATACCTTATTTAACATTTATAGGTCAATGAGACATTTAGAAGAATTTTTGTAGGGTTACTTTCAATACATTAAATTGATTTTTTACCACAACAGATCATTTGTAAACTCGTGTTCGACGGATTTAAGATTATTTTTAGTGATAAATTAATTCATCTTAATGTATCTATATATACGTCAAGTTTGCCAGGCCTATAACTTCGGTGCCTTCAAAAAATAAGAACTTCAGGTGTGTCATCATCATAAAGTCGTCAGTCTTAAGACTGTTTAGACACAGACCTCCACTCTTTCCTATCTTGTCCCAATCTTCGCATTTTCCTAAATCGAGAACATCCCACGTACCTAATTATTTGGAAAGAATAATCTATCTAAGTCTACCTCTACTCCTTTTAACTCCTGTTTCTGCTTCTAGTATGTCCTTGACTAGCCCTTCATAACTGAGAAGATGTCCTACCAATCTATCTCGTCTATTCCTTATTGACTTCCATAGAGTCCTCTGTTCTTTTATGATTTCTAATACCTCTTCATTTCTAACCTTTCCTATCCACGGTATCCTCATCATTCACCTGTAACACCACATTTCGAATGCATGAAATCTTTTCTTTTCTACCGTGCCCACCGTGTATGTTTCGCACGCGTACAGCGCCACGCTGCAGACATACCTACACCTTTAACAATCTTTTTCGAATTTCTTAGCCGTTCGCGAGCATAGAAATGAATTCTTTTTATTGAAGGCGACTGGACCCTGCGCTATACTCTGTTTTATATCTCTACCGCTGTTTCCATCTTGAGTTATTTGATTTCCTAGGAACCTACCGAAAATCAGTCACTTTTTCTTTTCGTTTCCCATCTTTTTATTCGCTCTTTCCCTACTTCTTCTACCCTTGCATACCAGTATTTTTGTTTTACTTTTATTCATTTTTTGTCAATACCGCTTCTATTTTATTTAAAGCTACCTCTTACTCTTCCTGGTAGATACTAATACAATTACAATAAGTATAATATGTGTACTGCAAGGCCCAGGTAGTAAGGCCAACGAAAAACTTACTGCAAGTCTATTGAGATAGAATATAATTTAATAAGGATTGATAACGATCACACAAAACACAAAATACAAAATACAATATTCCAAAATGCACCTATTGTTTATTTACAATTCTACTAATAAACTTTATCTAATCGACCATAAAGAAGTTATTCTTTGACTGCTATTATTTTAAGCGAGGTCGTAATTCGAAAAGGTCGTGTGAACAATTCATTCACGCATATTTGGAATTTTAAGAGTGAGATATTTAATTATTATGTCACTGTTGCGCGGTAAGATTTTTTTTTTTTTTTTACAAGCCGTGACGTCGAAAGTGAAACTACCTACCTTATGTCTCCAATTTACGGGGGGATATAAATATATTTCATCAGTAGATATATAAACTGATTTTTAAAAGATTCACTGCAGTTGAAGAATTCGCACCTTAAGATGAAGGTAATGTCGCGTAATTCTTTTGTGGAACAGTTAACATAGTGAAATTTTGTTTTATTAAAAATTCTGGAAAATATTTCTTAATGAAAATTTTCATATACCTACCTAACAATGTTTTTATTATTATTATGTTGTTATGTTTGAATAGTGATCAAAATAATTTATACTCTTACCTACAATTAATTTTATTTTATTTGCAGCTCTCCGTTCTTGTTCTGTTTGCAGTTATTGCATATGCAAGTGGTAAGATTATTATTCAAATTTTATATAATTAGTGTAATGATCAATGAATATATATTTTAGTAGTCAAATCGGAATTTCAAATTAGTATTAACTTTGATAATAATTACAATATAGGTACAGACTTCAATACTTTGCCTGAATTATGCATCACAACTTTAAACTAAAAAGTAAGAAATGGAAATCGCTCTCTAATTTTTCACCCTAAAAGGTGGAATACTTTCCTTAAATTTAAATGGGACCACACCCTTGAGATATGGCATTCTCAATAAAAAAAGAATCATTAAAATCGGCTCGAGTAAGGCAGAAAAAAAAGTCGAATTAAGAATCTCCTTTGATTTAAAATATAAGTAGACAACATTAAATAGGTCGCATATTATTTCAAGCGACATTTTTCAACTATTATTAATCTGAGATATTAAGTAAATATGAATTTATTATTATTTTGTATCATGTTGAAACATTTTGGTGGACCAAAATATGTACACTTGTTTTAAGATTTATTGAAATATTGTAGCTCTTTAAATTCCACTGAATTCTAATAAATCATATTTCATTTAATTAAATTTTGGTCAAAAATTCTTCAATTCAACATTGCCTTTATGTTTCCAGAAAATATCAAATTACAAAACCGTGCTGGTTTAGATACATATGTATCCTATATTATTTACAAGTTATAGTTACAATTATATTTTTGTTTCCTGAAGCTGGTTTTCTCGGCCATGGTGGACATGGCTATGGTTATGGAGGAGGCCATGGTTACGGAGGAGGTCATGGAGGTGTTATTAGTGTAATTGGACATGGAGGAGGTTTTGGACACGGAGGAGGTTTTGGTCACGGAGGAGGTTTTGGTCACGGAGGAGGTTTTGGACACGGAGGAGGTTTTGGGCATGGAGGTGGCTTTGGATATGGTGGAGGTCATGGATACGGAGGAGGTTACGGTTACGGAGGAGGTAATTTTACGATTTCTTTTGTTATATCAATTATTTGTTATCAGTTTTAAAGTTTTGCTGATATTTTAATGTTTAGCTTATATAGAGTTTATGGGGTATTTAGGCAGATACTGTAAATGTTTTACAATTTCGCAAGAGAATGTCCGTGAAGGTTGAAAAATAATTTTCGTTACTCTTTAATGCTAAAAGACGCTACATCCTTGTTTTCAGTAGTCACTTGTAGAGGAAATGTGGTTTATCAACCATAATTACCGCATTTCCAATTTGAGCGTGAATCTATAAAAGTAATGCTCAATGTACATTATCAAGGCCAACAGTAGACCTACTGGAACGATAATAAACAAAATAAAAAAATGTGTTTCTGTCGGGAATACTTGAACATTGATCTGTCTCAAGTCGTGTCGTCAGTAAAAGGCAAAACAAAGGAAACAGCAAATTTTGCTACCTCATGCTTTATTTGTTAACGCTATATTTAAAAGTAATGCGATTGGCAATCGTGTAAGTAATTATTATTGCTCGTATTTTAGGCCATCATCATGTGGTACGAGTTGTCAAAGTGTATGGAGGTCATGGAGGTCATGGAGGCTGGGGCTGGGGTAAATAAAAACCGCAAATGTTTGAGTGACGTATACTACGTAGAAACTGAGGAAAAGATGTTATTCATTTACCATTTTCGAAGCTGTCCCTTTAAAGACCAACATCTAAAAACTCTATAGTACAAAAGACCTATCCTATGATATTTTTTGTTATGTAATATTTTAAATTATACGATAAATAAATAACAAGAAATGAACAATTTTTGTCCGGTGAAATTTGTTTCTTCACCCTTAAAGACCTAATTACATTTTTATTGTAATGTATGTTTTAAATAAAGTGTCCAATGTTTTTAATTACCTAATTGATTTTACTAGCTGTGTGGGATCTTAAATTTAATTAAGTATTTGACTTTTATTATATTATGACATAAGCTGGTTTTAATAACCCTGAAATTGAAAAATTGTTAGTCAAAATGTCATAGTTTTTGTATATTCACTTCATTCCTATCATGGAATTTCAAAAAAGTCGTCCACAGTATTGCAGTTTTGAATTTTTGTGTGAAAACGTAACAAGTTCCATTTTTAAAGCCCATTTAATACAATGACTGTATCAAACACATATGAAAACCACTGCCTTGAATATCACCCTCCAGTGCCACTGAAAAGAAAGGTTGCAAACCAGAATATAGCTATTGATAAACGAATGATAGCAACCGATGGATCAACAGCTCATTTATGTCCTTCAACCCTTTCTGCACAGGTATGCAAAGGTCAGAAACAAATATTTTCACTTGTGCATCAAACAGATAGATTCCTATACAATTTCTTGTCGTATATTACCCTCACTTATAGGGTCGTCCATATATACGTAACGCAAAATTAGTCAAAATTTGAAATGCCCCACAAAATGGGATGCGTGGCCTAATCCTTTTCTTGCTACTCCCTTACATAACGGGAGTTGCCAAGGACGGCTGAAGTGGGAACCTGTCCTCCCATCCCGAGCAGAAAACGAGTAGGGTTGTGATCCGAATCGGATTGGGCAATCTAGCTGCCCTGTTAGGGCTCAAAAAGGAAAATTTGATCAGGACTGGATCAAGTATGTAACGCCTCAGATTCGGATCGGGCCACCCTAGAAGGTCTTGTTACATAGGGTATCGTGTAAACCTGAACAAGTTAACCTATAAGAGGTAGATTGAGGTGATTTGTAAAGTCCTGCGAATCTATAAGATGCCTTATACAATCTTGACTAAAATAACCTACATGGAACGAATTGTAGGGTCCCGACCTATATGACCCAAAGCAGGGTATCTCACAGGATTCGTAATTTAACTTAAACTTATCTCGTTCGATAACAACTTAGCGACAGTTAAATCAAGTCTTTCTTCGGGATTACCT